GGAGGAGGAGGAGACGGAGAAGGAGGAGGAGGAGGAGGAAGACGCCGAGGAGGAGGAGGAGGAGGAGGAGGAGGAGGAGGAGGAGGAGGAGGAGGAGGAGGGTGGGAGGAGGAGGAGGAGGAGGAGGAGGAGGAGGAGGAGGAGGAGGAGGAGGAGGAGGAGGAGGAAGAAGAAGAAGAAGAAGAAGACGAATAAGACGAAGAAGAAGAAGAAGAAGAAGAAGAAGAAGAATAATAAGAAGAATAATAATAAGAAGAATAATACTATTAAGAATAATAATAAGAATAATAAGAATAATAAGAAGAATCATAAGAAGAATAAGAATACTAATAATAATAGGAAGACGAAGAAGAATAAGAATAAGAAGAATAAGAAGAAGAATAATAAGAAGAATACGAATAAGACGAATAAGAAGAATAATAATAAGAAGAATAAGAAGAATAATAAGAAGAATAATAATAATAAGAAGAATAAGAAGACGAATAAGAAGAATAATAAGAATAAGAATAAGAAGACGAAGAATAATAAGAAGAAGAAGAAGACGAAGAAGAAGAATAATAATAAGAAGAAGACTAATAAGAAGAATAAGAAGAATAATAATAATAATAATAAGAATAATAATACTAAGAAGAATAAGAAGCAGAAGAAGAAGAAGAAGAATAAGCAGAATAAGAAGAATAATAATAATAATAATAATAATAATAAGAAGAAGAAGAAGAAGAGGAGGAGGAGGAGGAGGAGGAGGAGGAGGAGGAGGAGGAGGAGGGAGGAGGAGGGAGGAGGAGGAGGAGGAGGAGGAGGAGGAGGAGGAGGAGGAGGGGAGGAGGAGGGGAGGAGGAGGGGGAGGAGGAGGAGGAGGAGGGGGAAGGGGGAGGGGGAGGGGGAGGGGGAGGAGGAGGAAGAGGAGGCCATCGCAAAACCACTCCCAGAGCAGCATGCCCCGCAGAAAAGGGTCGACGGCCCCCAGGCGGGCCCCACGTCACTGCCAAGATTGCGGCGCCAGATGTGTGGGGCCTGGCCGGGGGCTGTTGCGGTGGAACCATCGGACGACTACGTACAAGAGTGGCCCTTCGCCCGAGGGGCCTTCGGTGCGGGCCCACACGGGTCCCACCAGCACCGGCCTGCGCGCTTGGCTTCGGCCTTCCCGCTGCCCCCGCGTGCCGCTGGCAACAGGTCGCTCTTGCCTGGGGTCACTCCTGCGTGCAGCCGAGAACTAGCTTCAGTATCGAGACCCCCACCAATTTACCACCCCAGTTTGGAATACACCCCTCGAAACCCGAAGGGAACGACCTGTATCCCCATCTAGGGGGGGTACATCGGCCCGTGGGGCCCAGGCCACGCCGCTGGGGAGGGGGATCCGTTAAACGATACTCATAGCTGGCGCCCTCTCGGACCCGCCGCCGCTCTGTCCTCGGGGTGCTGGCTGGCCACACGCCCTGCCCTGAACGACACAGGCGCGTTCGGCGCCATGCCGAAGAGGCCGCCGGCCCAGGCGGAGGGCGCCGAGTGCGACGAGCCGCGGGCCGCGCGGCGCCGGGGGGATCCTCTCGCGGATGCCGCCGGCGCGCCGCAGGAGGGCCGCCCCGACCGCGCGGCACTGCTGGCCTCGGAGGTGTCAAGGAGCAGACATCGGCACAGCCGTAAACTGACGGAGCTCCGCGCGGAATGTCTGGATCGGCGCCGAACCTCCGCGGCGCCTCCCGCGCCGCCCCCGGCGCCGCCCCGCGCGCCAAGGAGGGTGGGCCCAGCGCTGATCTCAGACATCCGCGCGGAGTTCCGAAAGCTTTTGTCAATGCAGTTCCTTCTCCCTCCAGAGGTGGTGCGGCGTGAGCGGGAGGCCCCAGCGGTGTGCGTCGACGTCGCGGTCGCCGCGGCGCTGAAGGGCGACGAGCGCCTGCGGTGGCTGCTGCGCGCGCTGGACGCCGCCGAGGGAGGAGAGGCGCGCGCGAGCGACGTGTACGACGTGGTCTCCCACAGGCGCTTCGGGGCCGGGGTTTCCCCCTCGCTCGCGGAGAGGATGATGGCAGAGCTGCGGAAAAGGTCCGCGTCGCGCGCAAGGGGGTGGCGCGAGGGGGTGGCCTCCTGAGAAGGCGGGGGGCCCCTGAGAAGGCAGGGACCTTCCCAGAAGGCCCCAGAGGCTTCTAGGAAGGCTTTCTTAGAAGCTGGGCGGTTTGCTGAGAAGCTCCCCTGCCCTCTTTGAAATACCTGCCTTCTTTGAAATCCTGCCGCCTTCTTGGAAGTCCCATCCTCCCTCGCGCCACCTCCTGTTCTCGCCGCCAGCAAGGTCCTCCCTCTTCTCGGAGAAGCAGCGGCAGTCTCTGCAGGACGGCCTCTTCGCGCTCGCTCTCACGGCTGCCGCCGCGGCGGCCCCTGCCAGCGACGAGCCGGCCTCGGCGAGTAGCCAGGCCAGCGAGATCATGAAGAGGTGCATCGACTTTGTGCGGCAGAACGAGGCCTGAGACTGGGATTAAGACGGGCCTGTCCATCTACAGGAGGAAGATTCCAAAATAGTCAAAACATAGTCAGGGGACGATGTTTTGACTATTTTTAAGTATTTTGGGGATTTTTTTGGGTATTTTTTATTTTTCGTCCAACATCCCCCTGTAGGGGGACAGGCCCGACTTAAGACTGGGACTCGTACACGTCCACCGCCTTGGGAGCGGGTCTTCCTGGGCCTCGGGAGGCCGCGGACATCCTGGGGTCCTTGGAGATCGGCTCCCGAGGCGGTGGATTTGCGTGCGTGCGTGCGTGCGTGCGTGCGTGCGCGCGTGTGTGTGTGTGTGTGTGTGTGTGTGTGTGTGTGTGTGTGTGTGTGTGTGTGTGTGTGTGTGTGTGTGCGTGTGCGTGTGCGTGTGGGCGTGTGGCGTGTGCGTGTGCGTGTGCGTGTGCGTGTGCGTGTGCGTGTGCGTGTGGCGTGTGCGTGTGCGTGTTGTGCGGGTGCGTTGCGCGTGGTGCGTGTGCGTGTTGTGCGTGTGGTGTGGCGTGTGCGTGTGCGTGTGCGTGTGCGTGTGCGTGCGTGTTCGTGTGAGTGTGCGTGTGTGCGTGCGCGTGCGCGTGCGCGTGCGCGTGCGTGCGCGTGCGCGTGGCGCGTGCGTGCGTGCGCGCGTGCGTGCGTGCGGTGTGTGTGTGTGTGTGTGTGTGTGTGTTTGTGTGCGTTGCTGTGTGCGTGCGTGCGTGCGTGCGTGCGTGCGTGCGTGCGCGCGTGTGTGTGTGTGTGTGTGTGTGTGTGGTGTGTGTGTGTGTGTTGTGTGAACGTGTGCGAGCGTGTGCGTGAGTGCGTTTGTGTGTGTGTGTGTGTGTGTTTGTGTGTGTGTGTGTGTATGTGTGTGTGTGTGTGTGTGTGTGTGTGTGTGTATGTGTGTATGTGTGTAAGTTCTGGCCTCGCGCCGAGGCGACCATCGAGGATTGGCACCAGCAGCACTCCAGGACTTTCCAGGTGGAGCTCCACCGCAGCAGCCTCCAGGAGCTCTGGGGCTTCACATGGTCGCGGGAGGCCTTC